CCCCCCGGGGGGATGGCCACGCCGCAATCCCTTCTCCTCGTAGGATCTTGGGCATGCACGCACACATGCCTGGCGTGAGTTTAAGCCATCGGGTCTGGGATGCAAACCACGGTCGACTACATGGGAGTCCAGCGACATAGCCATTACACTAACTGCTGGTCCCAAGCCTGGCATGATTTTGAGGCCACAGGGTCAGGATTTGAATCATGGTCCACCATGTGGGGTCCAGCTCCCTTAAACACAAGGTTTAAATGGTGCAGTATGGGGCTGGCCACACATGTTTAAAGTATACAGGAGGATATGCATAGGTTTTATACTATGCCATTTTATATGAGGGACTAGAGTATCCATGCAGTTTGGTATCTGTGGGCATCAGACACTGAGAGACAACTGTAGTCAGTCTTGATCTTCATGGAAATTACATCCTAATAGGGGAAAGAGGCAAAAATCATCAAACAAAAATAAAGGAAGACTATTTGACCTACTTTGGGAGGGTGAGAGAAGACAAAAACGATCTTTCTGTTGCTAAGTATAATGTCCCTTTTCCAAGCATCAGTTTTTCTACTTGACTTCTGGAGCAATTCAAACCGTTAAACCTCTACTTTTCTTTCTTTTTCTTTTTGAGATTTTGTTTGTTCTTGCTTTAGGGCGCATGTGTTTGGCAGAGAGACAGAGAGAGACAGAGAGACAAAAAGTGAGAAATCACCCCCCCCCCCCCCAGGGGGATGGTCAGGCTGCAATCCCATCTCCTCCATTCTCCTCTTGGGGTTATGGGCATGCACCCACATGTGCCCGGCATTGTGTTTCAAGTCACTGCGTCCAGAACTCAAACCATGGTCTATCATGTGGGAATCCAGCACCTTAACCGCTATGCCACATATTGGTCCCAAATGTCTGCTTTTCACTGGGCACTTTTCATTCACTTCTATCACTTCCATGCCACTATTACCTTCTGGTTTTCTTCTTTACCTCTCTGGCTGCCCCTTTTCATTCTGCTTCATGGGCTCATCTTTCTCTGCCTTCTTAACTCTACTTCTAGTCTTCTCTCCACTCTCTTCGTCCTTATAAGCTGAGTTCATTTTCAGTCTGGACTACTACTAACAGCCTTATAGCCAGTATTGCTTCCAGGCTTAGCAGACATACTTCTACCCAATGTTCTCATAAATTCTCTGCACGGTGATTTTTACAAAATAGAATGTAGGCTATCTCATACTCTTTCTTCAACTTCTTCAATGGCTCCCTTAGAAATTCTTCTTTTTTCTTCTTCTTTTTCCTGTAACATCTTCACTGAAATATAATCCATGTATCATAAGATTCTCCCTTCAGAGTAAAGAGATCCATGACTTTTAGTATATTCACAGAATTCTGTCACTATCACCACTGTTTAATTTCAGAATTTGGTCACCCCTAAAGCTCCCCATGCTCACTTCCATCCTCCCACCACCCCGGTGCCCCTGCTACTAATCCGTCTCTCTGCATTTGTCTTTTCACGTAAGAATCATCTAATGTATGGCATTTTTTGTGGCTAGCTTTTTTTACTTAGCATAATTTTTTTCAAGATTCACCCATGTTAACATTTACAGGACTTCACTCCTTTTTATACCAAATAACACAAAGGAATTCCAAAAAGTTCATGGAAAATGGTGTTAAAATATGAATTTATTTTTGTAGTGTAAAAGATTTTGAAATCTATGCAGTTTTTTCATACTAGACATTTTCCATGACCTTTCTGAAGACACCTCATTTCTCACTGTAGAATAAATATATCACATTTTGTTTATACTTTCATTATTTCATGGGCATCTGGGTTACTTCTATTTTTTAATTATTGTGAATCATGCTGTTATGAACATCTAATATACAAGTTTTTTTATAATGAACATGTTTCCATTCCTCTTAAGAACATACCTTAGGGTAGAACCCCAGGGCCAAAGGCAAAGTCCATGTTTAACATTTGAGGAACTGTCAAAATGTTTTCCCTTAGGGGTTCCTAAGGTGCTAAGCACGAGGGGAACTTATGAAGTAAAGGAGATACCCTGCTCGGAGTAGGGGTGAATAGAGACTAGAGGCAGTAGACATGGCTATGAAGTCACGTGACTTTGTGCAGTGAAACCTTTTAACATGGTGGTTGGAGTAGGTACTCGTTTTAGTTTTTTTTTTTTAAAGAATTGATTTATTTAACTTTATTTATTTCATTTAGTTATTTTAATTTTGACCAGGAAGGAAGAGAGCAAGAGAGAGAGAGAAAGTGAGAAAGAGAGCCCCCAGGTCTGGAACTTGAACTGCAGATGGCCATGTGGGAGTCCAGCGCCCTTAGCCACCACACCACCCACTGGCCCCTCACTTTAGTATTTTTAAATTGTACCTCCGATGGAAAGGAAGATAGACTGAAGCCATAAAAAAGTCACACTCACTTGAGTAGACCTTCGAGTCTGCCGAGCTTGTCTAGAGCGTGCTTTCCGTAAAGACTCTGCTTCCTCATCCCGTACCGGAGTTAGATAGGACCTGTGGGGGAAGTAAGAGCAGAAGCTTCACCTTTGTACGTGGACTCGAGGAATGACAAGGCGCTTCCAAGGAGATTTCTACACTAAGAAGGACCTCAAGCAAAGTAAAAAAGAGGAATGCTATCAGCCATCAGTAAAAATGACAGAACTCAAGACATTATTTGTAAATGTATTTGTGTTCACGCAGGATGTCATCTGTAAAATGAAATTTCCAGTTCTTCTTTCTCTGTCCTTGCAATTTTAATTTCTTTGTTTACCCTAATGCTCTTGCTAGAGCCTCTAAAACCAGTTGGAAAGGAGTGGTGATAGTAGGTATCCACGCCCTGTTCCTACCTTTAGAGAGAACACTTTCAGCATTTTATCAAGTGTGATTTTCTACTGTAAGATTTCTGTATAGATCGTTCATCATATTAAAGCAATTCCCTTCCATTCCTATAGGAAGTAGCCTAAGAGAGTTTTTTGCTATTTTAAATCATTAGTGTGTGTTGAATTTATCATATTCTTTTCTCCCCTACATGTTGGGATTAGCGTTTTTTGCTTTTCTTTTGTTAACATGAATCAGTCACATTGAATAACTTTTGAATATAAAACAATATTAAATTCTTGGGACAAGCTCAACTTGGTCAAGATATGCCTTTCTATATAAATTTACTTTTTACATAAAACATTTAGTTTAGGATTTCTGTATCCATTTTCATGAAAGAAATTAGCATGTACCTTTTTTCTTGTGGCATCCTAGCCAGCTTTGTGATTAAGGTTATGTGAGTTAGGGTGTTCTAAGTTTGTCTATTTTCTGCAAGGATTTAGGTATTTTCTGCTTAAATGACTAGGAGAGTTCATTGGTAAAGCATTCTGGGTTTATAATGTTCTTCATGGAAAGATTTCAAATAAAAATTTCAATTTATTCATATTCTGTTTCAGTAATTTTTAGGAATTATTTTATTCATTTCTATCTTATAATTTGACCAGAGAGAGACAAAAAGAGAGAAGCAAAGTGAGAAGGCAAACTGCCAGGTCTGGGACTTAAAATGTGGCTGGCCATGTGGGAGACCAGCACCTTAACCACCATGCCACCTGCCAGTCCTGGTAGTCTTTTTTTTTTTTTTTTTTAAGGAATTTTCTACTTTATATTACACATGTAGTGGCATAAGATAATTTAAATCACATTTTAATTATCACATGAATATCTATAGCAGTGGTTCTCAAATATTATTTGGGGTGTCTCAAAACCTATAAATTTTACTCATATTGAGAACCTTGAAGAGATTTTGTTTATGTGGGAATAGATCAATATTATCAATATTTAACTTAAAAACTGAGAAATAAAAAAAACCCCACGTATTTATTAATTCATTTAAAAATAATAGCCTGGGCCAGCTGGTAGCATGGAAATTAAAGACAGATGGATCTCACATGGTTGACTGTGCAGTTCAAGTCCTGGATCCAGCAGCTTGAAAACCACATTGTTTTCAATGTGGTTGTGTGTGTGTGAGTGTGAGTGTGTGTGAGTGTGTGTGTGTGTGTGTGTCCCTAAAGTTCCAAGAAGAGATAGAAAAAGAGTGGTAATAGTAGGTGTCCACCCTGTTCCTGCCTTTGTGGCAGGACTGTGGCATGGCCATCTCCCTGGGGGGCATGTTTTCTCACTCTCTTCCTCCTCTTTCCAATGAGCGCATGTGCCCTATGGTGAATTAAAAAAAAAAAATTAGCCCTAGGACATGTTAACATTAATAATGTTTTATGAAAAATAACCATTTTTTTCTTTCTTTCTTTTTTTTTGGCGGGGGGAGGGGGCGAGGATTTTGCTAGATTAGATTTCACCAGAAAGACAGAGAGAGAGAGAGACAGAAAGCGAGAAACTACCCCCAAAGGGGGATGGCCATACCACAATCACTTCTCCTCTCTTCTCCTCTCAGGATCTTAGGCATGCATGCACACATGCCTGGCATGAGTTTAAGCCACTGGGTCAGGGACTCGAACTGCAGTCGACTACATGAGAGTCCAGCGACATAGCCATTACGCCAATTGCTGGTCCCGAAAAAAAATCGTTTCATCCATAACAAAAAAAAATTCAGTAAGAATCTCATCACTTTACATGTTTGTAAATGTCCTTCAACACTGGCTTAACAGAAGATAGTGGAATTTTCATACCTGCTGCTGTAATCCAAATATTGTTTTGGTCAACATTCAAGAAGACTAGCTGCACACAAGATACATTACTGGAAAAGCAAGGAGTGCTGTAATAGTTTTCGCAAAAAACTCTGGATAGTCTTTGATACGACACTAAACAACTGGCAGTGAGTTTTAATGTGGAATCTAAAACATGTTAATAGACTTTACATATTCTGTCATGTTGAAATACATTAGTCTATCTTGAGTAGTTTTTTTTTTTTTTTTTAGTTTATTTCCTGAGAGACAACACACACACACACACAGGGTCTTTACACCATGATCTTTCAGGATCATGGACATGCCTGGGGGGTGCTCAGCATGTTCAGGCAGACGCAGGGTGCTAGGCCAGAGCCTTCTCATCTGGCCTGCAGCATTGTGCAGTAGAACCCCTACTGCCTGCAGCACCATGGCTGGGCCTACCTTCCACTCTTCCCACCCCAGGGTGGTAGTCAGAATCCACAATCTCTTTTCCTCCATTCTTCTCTTGGGATTTTGGGCACACACATGCAGCTGTGTTTTTCAAGCTGCTGGATCCAGGACTTGAACCACGAAGTTGGCCATGTGGAATCAGTACTTTAACCATCATGCCCACCAGCTAGCCCTAATGTCAGACATTTTTGGTGACGAAGTTTAGTGATAACTTTTGGTTATCCTTTAGAGAAGATATTCTTTGCCTCTGGCAGGCAGGCTAAGAAAGTGGTTCTCAAACTTTCACTCGCATCACAATCACTGTGGGCTTGGGAAGAACAAACTGTCAGGCCCTGTCATATCTCCAGAGGTCCTGATTTAGCAGGTCTGGTTGAGGGGTCTGAAAACTTTTATTCTAATCAGTTCTCAGATGATAATGCTGATAGGCAGACCACCCTTTGAGAACCAGAGGGCTAAGGCAAATGACCTTAATCCACTTTGAGATTAAACTGAAAGGAAACTAGGATTTAGTCTTTGCAAAGGCTGGTCTTTTTCTGGTAAGCCCTTAGGATGTAGTCCTTCGTGGTCTCAGATGACAGAGAGTCTTCCCATGAGACTACTGAAAGTCTTATAGAGACAGAGAAAGAGGAGAAAGTATCCCAATGGAATATAGCACACCATAATCCCTTCTCCTCCATTTTCTATGCTATTGGGATTTGGGGTAAAGATGCACACATGCCTGGAATGTTTTTCAAGTCACCAGGGCAGGGACTGAAACCACGGTTGGGCATAGGATCTGGCTCTTTTAACCACTAGAACACAGGGCTGGTCCTAAACCTAAATTTCTTACACAATGAAGATATTAACAGCAATAACTGAGACATATACAGATATACTAATAGGGTTGTGGTGAAGATTAAATGCAAAACCAAGTAAAGCACTCCGAACAGTACCGGGCACAGAGTCAGCACTTGCTATGGCGTGGCTGCTCCACTCTCACTCTCACCGCCATCGTCAGCACCACATACACGCTCATGCTGTTATCGTTACCACATTAACAGCCCATGGGTGGTAAACTGGAAAATAAAGGCCAGATGTGGTATGATACCCACTCTGTCAAGTCTTTTTTTTTTTTTTAGAGAGAGATTTTTGCTATAGGGCGCATGCACTTGCCAGACAGAAACAGAGAGACAGAAAGCAAGAAATCACCCCCAGGGAGGCTAGCCACGTTGCAATCCCTTCTCCTCCATTCTCCTCTCGGGACCTTGGACATACACACACACACACACACACACACACACACACACACACACCGCGTGAGTTTAAGACACTGGGTCCAAGACTTGAACCACGGTTGACTACATGGGAGTCCAGTGACATAGCCATTACACCAACTGCTGGTCCCCCAACTCTGTCTAATCTAATAAAAAGAATTCTCAATTGTTTTTTACTGGAAATGAATAACTTCTTTGAAAACACAAGGGGCCTTCAAAAAGTTCTTGGAAGATATATGCCATGAGAAAACTATGCATGCATTTCAAAACTTTTTTGCCCCAAAATAAACTTGTTTTATAACTCTATTTTTCCAGGAGCTTTTTGAAGTCTCTTTATAATCTCCATAAAGGTTCATAGGGTTATAAGTAAGATGAAACTGGGCCAGTAGGTAGTGTGGCAGTTAAGGTGGCTGGATCCCACATGGCTGATCCTGCAGTTTGAGTCCTGGACCCAGCAGCTTGAAAGGCACATTGGGCACATGTACATGCATGCCCAAAACCCAGAGAGGAGAATGGAGGAGAAGGGATTATGTTATGGCCATACCCCCAGGGACTGAGTTGTCATTTTCCCTCTCTGTCTCTCTCCTGCACACAAACCAAAAATTAAATTAAAATAAGTAAAAACCAAGTAGAAGATAATGAAAGAAGGGTAACCATGATTTCCAAGTAAAGGACAAAGCTGTTTACCCTAGAATGATGAAAAAATGGAATTTTTGTTTAGAATCCAACAAGAGATTTAATTTTTTTTTTTTTATTATTTTTTTTTATTGCTAGAGGATGTGTATTCTCTCCAGAGGAAAAAATAAGGTGGAGAGAGGATGCAGTCATGTCGTAATTCCTTTCCTACGTTTCTACCACGCATCGGGATTTGGGGCACACGTGAACATATGTCTGACAAATTTTTCAAGCTGTCAGAGCTGAGATTCAAATAGCAGTTGGCCATGTGGGATCCAGCTTCCAATGCAGGGCACTTAACCACTGCTAACGGGCTGGCTCAGTAACTGGGTTTTGAAATAGCTTTTTTTTTTAAAAAAAAAAAAAAAAAAGAGAGAGAGATTTTTGCTACAGGGTGCATGCGCTCGATGGAGAGACAGAGAAATAGAAAGCGAGAAATCCCACCACGGGGGATGGCCATGCCACAATCCCTTCT